GGTGAGTTGCTGCAGTGCATCTTGTAGATGGTACACACTGCTGTTACTGAGCGTCGGTGGTGGGGGGGGAGTGGGATGTTTGTGGATGTGGGGCCAATCGAACCGGGGGGGCTGCTTTGTCCCTGGATGGTGTCGAGCTTCTCGAGTGTTGTTGGAGCTGCCCCCATCCGGGGCAAGTGGGGGTATTCCATCACACTCCTGACTTGTGCCTTGTTGATGGTGGGACAGGCTTTGGGAGGGAGTCAGGAGGGGAGTTACTCGCTGCAGGATTCCCAGCCTCTGACCTGCTCTTGTAGCCGCTGTGTTTATGTGGGGCTGGTCCTGTTCAGTTTGTGGTCAGTGCTAACCCCCAGGATGTTGATAGTGGGGGGATTCAGTGATGGGAACACCATTGAATGTCAAGGGGGTGATGGTTAGATTCTCTCTCATTGGGGATGGTAACCCCCAGGATATTGATAGTAGGGGGGATACAATGATGTTAACACCATTGAACATCAAGCGAAGAATGCCAAATTTCAGAAGAGCATCATAATTTATACTACAGGAGGGAAAAAAGGGATGACTGGGTGGCGTTTGATAGGCTGAGGCGTTGCTAAGTGGCACTCCAGCCTACGGATCATCACAGAAGATGTTCCAAGCTATTGGCACAATCGGGATTTTGCAGTAAAGTGCCGTCCTATTCGGGTGAGGCGGTGGGGGGCGTGGAAAATCCGTTTTGGGCCGAGCAAGCGCGGGCTGGGTCACACACAATCTGCAGGACTTGTCGCTGAATTCCCGGGGATCCATCCCGACAAAACTGCAACGCAGAGGGAGAGAGAAAGACCGCGTCTCGTTTGCAGATGCCACATTTGTACCTCGCGTCTGCCCCGGGACGTACCATTCTGCGTGAGTTTGGTGGAGCATACCAGCGTGGCGATCTGAAAGCTGTCCTTGATGGCAGCCAAGGAGGCATGCACCCCTTTGCCGAACTGACTCTCTCTCGCCTCCTGCTCCTCTTTGGTCCCCGGCTGCGTCAGGTAACACTTGGGATCTTCCGCTTTCCTCGTGTCACCCTGGCGACGAATAAGATTTGGTTTTTTTTAATTCTTTAAATTGCCTGCGTGCTGGCCAGCCCATCCCCGATCGCGGAAGGACAGGACGGGAAGTGGGAAAAATGTTCGAATCTGTACTTAAACGAGCGGCCGGGAATTGAGAAGACTGTTCTTGAAAGGGGCAGAGTCTCCGTGGTTTAGTGAAAGGGGCAAATTGTCCTTTGCAGCATTCATTCGAGTGTGGATAAGGGAGAACCAGTGGATGTAGTGTATTGAGAGCTGTAAAAGGCATTTGATAAGTTTAAACTAGTTTGGCAGGGAGGGGATGGGACTCTGAATAAGAGAGGGGCCATTGAGAAGGCAGGGGTAAATACATTAGCCCCATTGAGAGCAAGTTTGCTATTCAGGATAGCCAGGGGCACAGTAAAGGGAGGGATAAGACTTCCGGTTTAAAGTGCATTTATTTCAATGCATGAGGCCTGACTGGTAAAGCAGAGGAGCTCAGAGCATGGATTGGCTCTGGGGACTGGGATATTACATCCATAATAGGAACAGGGCTGAGAGAAGGGCGGGATTGGTAGCTCAGTGTTCCTGGCTACAGAAGCACAAGTAAGCGATATGGAGAGTTGCCCTTTTGATAAGGGAGGACATAACAACAGTGCTTAGAGAGGATATTCTTAAGGGATCATCAAATGAGGCCAATATTGTTAGAACTTGGAAACAGGAAGGGGGTGGTCACTCTACTGGGACTGTATTATAGACCCCCAAATAGCCAGCGGGTGCGAGAGGAGCAGATGTGTAGAGAGATTGCAGATATCTGTAGGAATAACAGAGCAGTATTGGTTGGAGATTTTAATTTCCCCTGTATTCACTGGGCCACCCAGAGTATAAAAGACCCAGACGGGGTGGAATTTGTCAAACGTGTCCAAGAAAGTTTCATAAATCAGTATGTAGAGGGCCCTACACAGGAGGGTGCAACATTGGACCTCCTCTTAGGGAACGAGGTCGGGCAAGTGACTGAAGTGCCAGTGGGAGAGCACTTTGGGTCCAGTGACCATAACTCTCTTAGTTTTAACATAGTTATGGAAACAGATAGGACAGGTCCCCAGGTTAAGGTGCTAAACTGGGCCAGGGCCAATTCTGGGGCCATTCGGCAGGATCTAGCGGAGGTCGATTGGGTGAGTCTGTTTCAAGGAAAAGGAATGACTGACAAATGGGAGGCTTTTAAAACTGTGGTATCAAGAGTCCTGGGACAGTATGTTCCTGTTACAGTGAAGGGAAAAGCTGGCAGGTTCAGGCTGATGAGGGATATTGA